TACTGAAAATAACAGCAAATCTATTCCTTCATCCCACTCAGAACCAGTCTCTAAACAAAAGGCTTTAATCATAGTCTTTAAAGTATAGTGAAACCTTTCAACTACCCCTTGACTCTGAGGATGATATACGGTGGACCTGCACTGCTGTATACCCAAGGACTTCATAACCTGTTCATACAGTCTGGACGTAAAATTTGACCCTTGATCTGATTGTATTACAGTAGGCAGACCAACTTGTGTAAAAAAATTATCAATGCCTTCACAACATTCTTAGTAGTGATGCGTCTAAGAGGAATAGCTTCAGGATATCGGGTGGCCACATCAATTATGGTTAACAGAAACTTGTTACCCCGTTTAGTCTTTGGAAGAGGACCTACACAGTCAATAACTATTTTGCTGAAAGGCTCTGTTAACACAGGGATAGGTTGCAAGGGATATGGTTTGATACCATCTCCGGGTTTGCCTTTTACTTGGCAGATATGGCATGACTGGCAATAGTAACCAACATCACGTTTCATTTTCGGCCAATAAAAATGAGCTAAAATCTTATGGTAAGATTTGTTGACTCCCAAATGACCACTAATGTCATGTGCAATATTCAATACATCAGTTCGAAGGGGCTTTGGAATGACAATCTGATGTACTATCTTACTGGTATCGTCTGCAGATATATTATAGGGCTTATATTTACGCATAAGAACACCTGACTGGAGATAATAGCAGGTACTGAAATTGTCTATGTTACTTGTATCAGTAAGCCTATCGTTTGCAACTCAGGATCTTTATATTGTTCTTCAATGAGCTTTTCTCTAGTAACTGGCATGTCTTTAAAATTTACTATATTAGAATTATCAGAAGCAGAAATGTTTGAATCTTTGTCAGATGATTTAAAGAAATCTGCCAAGGTGAAATCCTCGGTGAATATATCATTAAGGCTCTCTTTGGGTAATGCAGTACCGGCGGTAAGCGCCTTGGTAGGAGGGGAGGACCTACGACTTGCACTGCGGGTGACAGCACATGCAGGAAAGAGATCGGGATACTCCCTCTCTAAATCTACGGTGTTGTTCTCCTCTGTCGGGCAAGGTGAAACTACAGGGCAAGGCCATACCTTATCACCAACTAGATCATTGCCCATAAGGAGCGAAATGCCATCACTTGGTATATTATCAACAACACCTAAATTTACGTACCCAGTTATCAATTTAGATTCAAGGTAGACTTTACATATGGGTATACTCTTGGACCCTACCAGTCCATTAATAATAATCATCTCTCCAGTATAGCAGTCAGGGTTAGGAACCATCTCCTTGAGTACCAATGATATATCTGCAGCCGAGTCCCGTAGAATAGTGACTGGGGAAGACGACTTACACGACTCATCGACACTAAGAAATCCTGTGGAACAAAATGGTCTAAATGAAGGTGTCACAACTTTAGATTCAGTAATGGAAAAGGGAAAAGGCCACGTTTATCACAAGGATATTTCGATGTAACCTTTGTCGTCTTATTAGCACTGACATGAAAGATACGTTTGTTATTATCAGAACGCTTATTTGTCAATCTAAAACAGTCATTTATGGCATGACCATATTTCTTGCAATAACGGCAAAAAGAAAAATTCTCACCGCGAGAAGCAACCTTCTTACTCTCATCACCACCTGTTTCTGACTTTGTATGAACAGTCCTGTGGGTATCTGGCAGTCCAGTCCTCCTGGAACTATACTCCATCCTCTTACCATTATGCTGGATAGACTGGAATGAAGGCTCATTAGATCTGCAAGAGTAGTTGGGATTAGTGAGAGCGAAATGATCGGCGGCTTTGCCGACCTCGGCTAATGTGCGCAGACCACGTTCGTCAATGTGAGAGCGAACTTTTACAGGCATACTTTTCTTAACTTCCTCTAGTACAAAGAGCTCGAGTAATTTATCGTACTCGAGTGCATCAAGTTCACTCTCGACCCATTTCTTACACAAAAGTTGCTTTTGGCGAATAAATTCAACAAAGGTTTGTTTGCTATCTTTACGATAATAACGGAAATCTTGTCTGTAAGCCTCTGGTACCCTTTTATAAACATTTAAAACAGCTTGTTTTACTACATAATAACATTGTGACTGTACCAAATCCAGAGCTGAGAAAACCTCTTGAGCTCTGCCAACAAATGCACTGTGAACAAGCAATACCCACTTATCTTCGGGCCAACCATGCAAGGCAGCAACTCGCTCAAAATGAATGAAAAAGTACTCAGGCTCTGTCTCATTGAATTTAGGAACAAATTTAATTGCATCCTCTATACGAAAATGAGGATGGTGTTCCCGATCAGGTCTCTGCATGAGACGCATCCGCTCATTCTCTGCCTTAAACATTTCCAAATCTATCTTACGGCTCTCCAGGTCATACTGGCGGGCCATCGTGACATCCCGAGGACACAAGGGCTCTAAATCCTCCTCACTTAACACCTTGTGTTCTAATAAATACTCGGTCACTAATGTACGAATTTCATCCTTCCGTAAGGATGACCGAAAAGGGATGCAATAATGAGCGGCTAACTCACTCCACTGGGCTTT